TATTTCTAAGAGATTTGTGCCAGTGGTGTTTTTTCTGTGCTCTTCTCACTGGTTCCACGTGGGCGGGACTCAGATCGAAAAGGGATGCCACGTATTTCCGTGTATACCAATCAGATTTCAGCGATATTATAAATCAGGCAGTTGTGCTTTGTTTGTGTTGTTTGTCTGTATCATAGCTGATAAACAAAAAGATTAGCTCTTTTTTTGTATTAGATCCTTAATAGACAATAGACAAGAGTTTTTCTTTCCAAAGTTGAACTTAATTGTTAGTCTGACAAGCATATCGGGCTGCAATGCTAAATCGGTGGAGTGCTCCTTTGAGACAGTGAGGTTGAAAGTGGAGAGCAAGATCTTGTATTCTTCATGCTTTGCCTCTTGTAGTAATTAATTGTTAAAGGAATACTTCACGCACAAAATGACTCACCCCGTGTTACCTCAAATGATTTAACAAAACGTTCTCTTGGCCTCCACAGTGAACAGAGAATCAACATACGGAGAAAAGTCTTGATGAATTGAAGTAAAGGTAACGCGGGGTGAGTATTTGATAAATGGTCATTTTGTGGGCGATATATTCCATTGAAATAAGTACAATGGTATGTTATTTTGAGATGTTTGGGAGAGGATGTTGCAGTTTGTGACCACGGCAGTCATTTCTGTACAGTTTCTAAATATTGTATAGATTTGAACTATTATACTGCCATCCAGCGTGTCCTTCATTGCCTAGTCTCTTTAAAGGCGGGGGGAGTTCTACATGTTTTTCCGGCCAGACGGTCCCAGTTTGTGTGTTGGCCACTGGCTCATCAGGACGACCCGGTGATATCATTTAGTCTAATTACTGAGGAGGATTGCCAGATGAGCCGACTCTTAGCCAATTCTGTGTGCTTTTGCCGCTGACATGTGTGACCAGTGACAGATGCAGCTTATTTACTGAAGTGCACTTGGTCATTTTGATGTGCTTGTTTGTGCGCCTGCTCTTCGCTTGGCTCTCTTTTCCCTGCAGCGACAGTACTGTGGCTGCACCCAACGCCACGTCTCGTTCACGGTACATCATTGGTAGAGCTTCTTGTTTCCTAATTAGTGCTTGTCTTTCTAAAAAGATCATTCTTGCCTCTGTTACATTCATTGTTCATTGTCACCCACTGTGGCTTTGACTCTTATCCTCCAACCAATGATCTTATAAATGCTGCGCTGTAACGTTGGCTATCCACGAAATGTAAGCTTATTCTAGCGTTACACTTAATGCAATTTGACTTGTGAATGAGAGCTTAAATGGAGAAGTAGCTAGTGTTTGTTTCATTCATTGGCAAACAAAGATCTGGTTCATGCTTTATTTTCCGTTCTGACTTGTTCCTCTTTCAAATTGCCATCAGCAGCTGCATCAATACTGCACTTTCATGCTGGGGATGGAGAGGCGTGTTTCCTGCGCCAGCTGCTACAGTTCAGCAGGCAGTTTTTCTCGGGTATCTTGACATAAGTCTGTCGGTGCGGTCATTAAGGTTTTGTACCTTGCCTCACACCGTTTCCAAAAAGTCAATAATTGTAGCTGTTCTGAGGCGGCGGTATGAATGTAATCAATGGCAGTTTTCTCACCAGCGTTCGCAGCTTTAGACGGACTTTGTTAAGAAAACACAGGAGTGAATGCCCTCTCGGCGTGAAAAGACTCCCCGCTCGTGGTGAATCACACATTAAACGGGCTCGAAAACCTGTTTACAAGAAGAGAAGTGCAACACATAGGTACGGGTGAATTATTACCCGGTCACAGTGTTGATTAAACGGCAATAAAAACAAACTAAACCACCCTTCACTCCACTGCTTTGCATGGTTTACAGCCTGACCTGACATACATATCACTGGCGGCCGTCTGCTGCTGCTTCTTATAAAAGAGCAGGATGATAATGATTACTGAACAGTAACACTGCAAACCTGTTTCAACTCCAAATAAAACAGCCACGGACATATTTTTTGTGTTTGCTCTCCTTCCATCACAGAGGAAGTTAAAAACCCGCAATAGATATGAAAAAGAACCTTTACTGTGCAGTAAAACCGACAGTGATGGCTTTAACGTGAGCTTCTAGACATTGTAGTGAACTGTATTCTGTAATTTAACATCCATATGCTCCCCCCGTTCTCACTATCTGCTACTCTCGTTTTCCCACTGGGTGGAGGAGCTATAAATTAAAGTGGGGAATTACTGCTAACTGTTGGAATAAATTAAGTCGCTTTTGCGTCTGTAAACACCGTCTGACTGCGTAATTACACTCCCACTCCCACTGAGACGCCATGGAGAGGGAGGATAAGGAAGGAAATGCAGTATAGATGGAGAGCTGTGGCAGTGGGTGAGAGAGAGGATGAACGAAACGTCACAAGGGGGGGTCAGACTTCAGATTCACGCCTTCGCTGAGTCCTGGTCGCTAGATGATGGGCACTCCACAGATTAGGGGGGGAAAGGTGACTTTGAACATCATGATCGCAATCACCATACTGGTTATTACGTCTTAAAGAAAACATACTGCCACTAAACTACTGCAAACTGCAGTTTCCTCTGGAGTTACATTCAGTTTTCTGTTTTTCTTCTGTAGGAAAAATGTGTTGGAACATCACGCAACACCGAAGCTCTCGCTCAATCTGCCGTCTAATCACAATATGGCCGCGTTAATGGCAAATCACATTTAGCCGCACAACAGTTCACTGGATGGACTGAAAGCCACTTTATCACGAAAGGATCTTAACAGCTGGCTATAAAAAAAAGCCACAAACAAGATACACACGGCCTTCAAGGACAGCATCGTCATCAGCCTGAGCGTATGGCCTGCATTATGAGGACCAGGTAAATTGAATTAACACACTTTGAAAACATGATATCAACCGCTTGACGAGCCGTGCACTCAAACTAGGTTGTTGACATTAGCCAGGACAACACAACTGGCTTATTAGTGCTGTCGTCCTCCCAGTGCCTCAACATGCAGCTGAATACATGAAGTACAGAGAACACAAAGCTCACCTCACCTGACTGTATGTTTGAACTGGAGCTGTGAAAGTCAGCCAGCAGAGCCACTGAAATGTCTGGAGCTTCCAGCTTGACAGTGATCGGACCTGTCGGTGACTTGCATGCAGAGGTGCGGACTTGAGGCACTTGACTTGGACTCGATTTGGATTTGAGTCACAAATTTTACGACATCAGACTGACAATATCAAATAAGACTGTACTTGGACTTCAACACCAACAACTGGTGACTTCACCTGGACGTGAGCCTTTTGACTTATTATAAAATGCTGGATACCTTCAATCTCATTCATTTAAAATGTGTGCCACGAATCAATGAACTTCCCTTCTTTTCCTAAATCGACGCTAACGACACATAATTCCCCCGGGCAACTGTGTTTGAACCAATTCGACAGCATCCAGTCGAGTTGCAGGAGAGAACCATGTAGAACTGACATTATGTTGCTTAGCAGCACAGTTGGAAAACAATTACACCAAGCGTGATTTTGAATTTCAGCGTGCAAAACATGTGAGTGGAAGATTACAGACAGAGAGGCAAATGTCATTACAATTTGTTGAGGGAGCGCTTTATGTCTTGTTTAAAACTCGAGACTCAAAATTTAGGACTTATAGGTCGTAACCCTTGACTCAGGACTTGAGTGCAAAGACTTGTGGCTTTCTTGTGACTTGCAAAACAATGACTTGGTCCCACCTCTGCTTGCACACACATAATGACGGATAGCTCCCCTGCCGGTGTAGACATGTCTAACGAGTGCACACTTTCTGCTCATCTCTGGTGTCACACTGAGCGAGCAAGTTTGATAAGCACCTGTGACAACTACAAACAAGCCTACTTACTCTTCGCCTACTTAAATCATCTGTCACATGTTTTATGAAATCTTGGCAGCTTACTGACAGACAGAATTGAGTAGCTGCATTTTCAAGGTCCCATTGAATCATTAAAGTTATACACTGATTCTCTGCGCTATAATTATAAGAGCCACTGACCTTTGCTTACAGTTTTACCTGTTATGCATTAAATTCAGCTATTCTGCACAGATCACAAGCCTGGCTTGATTGAGGGAGGTAGAACAGTTTACGTAGGCACACATAGGTATATAGGGAAAGAGTGACTCAAACTGTGTCACACCTAATCACACCGGTCGTTTCATGGGAGGCTTTCAAGCCGACAAGTATTGGTTTTTTGATGCACAAATGTAAGCAGCAGGTCTGAGCTCAGCCACGCCGGTGGGATTCACAACATTCGGTTCCTCCCGCGGCGAGACACGGCCCACATCGCTCTGGGGACCGGAGCAGATGTCCTACCAATTTGAGGACCACTTCGAAAACACTCTCCCCCGTCAAGGCTCGGACTAAAGAGTGCCACGATTGGACAGACTAGTAACCTGCCCAACAGATCAGAGTGGAGCTCTAATTACAAAAAAAAAAAAAAAAAAGTATAAATAAATAAAATGCATCAGTGTGACAAAAAGGTGAAGAGACTGAGACCAGACGGAGCAAAAGATCCAGATAGACAGACGGACGGATAGACTGATAGATGGATGTATAGATGGATGGATAGATTGATAGATGGATGAATGGATGAATGGATAGATAGATGGACGGACAATAGTCTGTATCATATTTTGCACTAGTTCACACTACAGTTACACAGGGAACAGCTGACGGAGAGAGAGAGAGAGAGAGAGAGACCTGTGAAATATGCACCATGTCTCACTATTATTCAAAGGACACAGAGGAAAGGCTTTCTCAAATGTGTTCCAGCCTCCTCCCTCTCTTTTAATCCTCTCCATCCTTTTTTTTTTTAGCCTCAGTCTTTCTCTCCTCTGCTCCTCTTCTCGAGCCTCAGCCGGCACATTGGAGAGATTTTTTTCTCTCTCTCTCTCTCTCTCTCTCTCTCTCTCTCTCTCTCTCTCTCT